CCCCAAAACAACACACACACACACCCCTTCTATGAACTAGATCTTGTGCTCTTAAATGTAAACCAACGGAATGCAAAACTAATTCTGCTAACAAAGCAAACCCATGGGTCTGGCAAATCGAATCCGCAAGTAAGCAAATGAAACCATACCTCAGACAAATGTATTTTACTTTTAACTACCCGCCCAACCAAAGACCTCGAGAATCCACGCGACCTTAAACAAGGATCTTTGGATTACAGAATTTGGGTTTCTGTTCTCCGGTAAGATTTTTCTTTTTGCGAAAAAGGGAGGGTAAAAATTGAATGTCTACGTACGTGTTAGTTTACTCTCACCAAGGTTGCTAATCGGCATCGTTAAAACAACTAGTCATGCTCTTTTTTCAATCTTAATAGCTTAATAAATTTAATACATTTATTTTTAAACGATCACACCCCTTTGGGATTCAGACCCTTCTGCAATCCTACATGTTGCAAGATGCTTCGTGCATTGGGCTACCCTTATTTTTTTTATCTAAGATTGAATGAGTTCTAGATTTCAAAAATACATAAATGATTTTTTTCAGACAATTAATCAAAGATTTTATGAATACTTGCACTAAGCCAGTGCTAAAAGACATCATTACAAAAAGTGCAGTTCCTCTATTGTGTCTTGAAATCCAACTTCATCATGTACAATAAGCAGGCTGCACCAAAAAGTTTGCAAACAAATACATCTTCGTTTAAGGCTATGTATGTTTCTCCTGTTGCCTTCAAAAATTCTGCTATTTCTTTCAAACCAAAGAGTCCACCAAATGGCTTGAGGAATGGTATTCCTAGTCTTTTGTGATTTCTTGCGCAATCCCTCGTGTTCCAGTATTGCAATAGCTCCAAAATGGATTTTGGCATTGTCCACGACATGCCAAGTATTGCCAAAAGCATGTTCCACAGCTGTCTAGTAACTCTACATGCAAGAAAAGGTGGCCAACATCTTTGTAGTGTTCTTCGCACATTGGCCACCTACTGCAAAGCTGATTAGTCCCCTCTTTTGGTGGTTGGAATAAGTGAAACAAGCTTCCCTAGCCACAATTCCAAGAGAAGCAAGAGACTTTCTAAGGAGCATTGCTTTTGGAGGTTGGAACAAGTGAAACAAGCTTCCCTAGCCACAATCCAAGAGAAGCAAGAGACTTTCTAAGGAGCATTGCTAAATTAATTTTTTTTTTTCCAGGCCAATAATCCCTGTTGTTACTTGATTCCAGCAAACTGTAACAACTTTTGACTGGAAAGAGACCTTTGGAATGTCCCTTCCATCTGATAGAATCTATTTTATTGTGGTCCAATGCTATTGTGCCTAGTAGCTGAAGCAAAAGACAAAAACTTCCCATTTCCCAATCATTTAAGTTCCTTCTAGGAAAGAGATTCCAGCCTCGCGTTGAATAAAATTCAGCAATTACCCCATTGCGCAACGAAGAAATACTGTAGATATTAGACAATCTTTAAGAGGAGTGTGGCCCATCCATGCATCTTCCCAGAACCTTATTTTCCTTTCATTTCCAAGCATGAAGCTTATTTTCCTTTCATTTCCAAGCATGAAGCCCATATTTGCCTCAAATTTGTTCCAACCTCCTGTAATATGCTTCCAAATTCCAGTGCCTTGAGGTGCTGTCGATGTTTTGGTGCACCATTGACTCTCAAGAGAATTTTTCCACCAAGATTCTCCTCCAAAGTGCATTGTCCTCCTTGTAGAATCTCTAATGCCATTTCAGTAATAGACTTTCATTATGGCTCCTCAAGTTCTTGATTCCCAAACCCCCTATTCTTTTATCTTTAGTATTTGTTTTCCAATTACAAGAGAGGAGTGACCCTGTTTGTTGCCTTTCCGGAGAAAGTATCTCCTCAATTTGTTTGCCTGGAAAAGAGACATTGTATATGTAGGAACTACACAAGGTAAATTCCATATATGCAGCAAAAGCATTTTGCTATTAGCATCCCGATAGCTTCCATTCTTGCTACTGGAGCAAATGCCCTATCATAATCAATTCCCTCATCCTGGTTGTATCCCTGAACTACTAGTCTGACCTTGTTCCTTGTGATGTTTCCTTGCTCATCTAGCTTGTTCCTGAATACCCATCTAGTACCTATCACTGTTCTATCTTTAGGTTTTGGTTCCAAATGCTATACTTTGCTTTTTCTCAACCTGATTAAGCTCCCCTTGCATAACAATTATCCAGTCCGGATTTTTTAGAGCTTCTTTTATGTTTTTGGGCTCTATTTATGATAAGAATGTTTTGAAACTTACATGGTTTTTAGAGATAATTTGGTCTGCACTCTTGTATTTAGATTGGTGATGTTCTCAAGAGGGTGAGAAAGAACTCTGGTGCTTCCATGTTCTGGATAAATCTGTATATCACTACTTATTTCCTTTCCCTTTTAGGCACTTTTCTTGATTCTTGATGTTGCAAACTAAGTGTTGTCTTCTCAGAAGTTAGAGTAAGAACTTGGTTTAAGGGTTTTGATCACATTTTCAAGTTCAGTTTTGTTTGTTTCAAAATCCTTGTAGTCAAGTTCAAGTTCAGTTTTGTTTGTTTCGAAAACCCTTGTAGTCAAGTTTGACACTGGAAAGATTGTTGAGTAACTGATCATTTCCTGCACTTAGTCTGTCAACTTAACCCATCAAAGTTAATATTATGGACATTAATTGTTTTTTTTGGACATAGAATGACTGTTTTCTTTCAGATTAGAAGTACTCACCTCACTTGAGTCATTTTCAACATATGAGTCACTCATTGCCATCATCCCCATCACTTCCTCTTCAGTGTTGTTTTTTTCATCTGGCATTGCCATCAAAATTCAAAGCTAGTTCAATATCTTCATTTCCATATTCTGCAGCCAAAGAGTCCCATATGTCTCTTGCAGATGAGCGTGAGGATACTTTGTAGAGCATACTTCTTTGAAGACCTTTGTAGAGGATATCTTTTGTCTTTGCATTTTTCTTAATAAGATCTTCAGAGTTATATTCTTCTTCTCTTTTGACACTTCCAGTGAGTTTATCTTCATTGGTATCTTGGTCCCTGACGGATAATTTCCCATAGATCGTAATCTTTAGTTTGAAGAAATACCTCCATACGCATTTTCCATTCATCAAAATGGTGTCCATCAAATAAAGGAGGTGTTTCAACATGCATCCCTAACTGCACAGATGATGACGTGTTGGAACATTTGTCAGGCTCTTCAGACTCAATTACTGCATACAAGCTTATGGCCTCATTGTCACTTCCTTCCTCCTCTTCATTTCCGCTATCTTCATATGCTACCAGGAATGCCTATTTCATGGCCCTAGTAAAACCTTTGTTTCGATTTAAACCACGTTCTTTCAACTTATCTCTTTTATCTTTCCAGATCGTTCCTTCTTCCACTCAATTTCCCATATTGGGTAGTTTTAACCATGTGTTCCAACTTCTTGCACTTGTAGCAACCATCATATGACACCTTGTCCATAGTCTTAGCTTTGCTGGAGTTCTCTTTACTCAGACCTCCTCTGGGATTCTTCATGAATTTGTTGAGCTTCTTAACAAGCATAGCCATATCCAAGTCATCATCATCAGATTCACTTCCATCAGGGCCTTATCTCTTTTTGACTCCTCTTTGCGCAATTTTAACTTCCTCATTTCATGAGTTTCAAGTTTCCTATCAACTCATCTAGTGAGATTTTATCCAACTCCTTGGCTTCCTTAATGGCTGTACTTTTTGTTTTCCATGAAGCATGAAGAATTCTTAAAACTTTGTAATCAGGTCTTCAGAAGCGAACACTTTCCCAAGTGACTTTAATTCATTTGTGATAATGGTGAATCTGGTAACCATCTCCCGAATAGGCTCTGAGCTTTTCATTGAGAATAACTCATAGTTTCTCATTAGCATTTCAATTCTTGACCTCTTCACCTGATTTGTCCCTTCATGAGTCGTCTGAAGGCATCCCAAATTTCTTTAGCATTTGAGCTGGCTGATATCCTGTTGTATTCATCAGGACCAAGGCCACAAATAAGAATTTTCTTGGCCTTAACATTCTTTTTCCATCATCCTGAAATGTGATGCTATAAATTCATAGGGGTTTTGGGGTACATCTTCTTTCTGCTCATTTTGTTTGGTAGTAATAAGAGGTTCTCTTTATTCTGCATGATAGCTTGCCCATCTAATGTGTTTCGAGTAGTTGTATTTTCTTTAGATGTCTTATACAAATTTTACTCACGGATGATAATGTTATGTGTCTTCATATTTGAACGTCATATGGGTTTGGACATGGACGCTAATATTCTCTGAAAAAACAATTGCTTGGTAGCATCCAACACAAAGCAAGGACCCATCTATTAGAGTTCATCACAAGGTAATCTTTGTCATGATGTGCAGGGACAACTTGCAATTATTAAGGCAGCGCTACTACTATGCTACATGGAAGGCTGATGGGACACGGTATATGATGCTGATCACGATGGGTGGTTGTTTCTTAATTGATAGACATTTCAACTTCCGAAGGGTTCAAATGAGATTTCCGTGCACACACACTGATGAAGTATGCCACTCAGCTATTAGGATGTTATGATCTTTTTTTCCCCCTTTTATATCTCACTGTTTGATATTGTCTGTTTATGATTTATCATATGAAATTCTCGTTCTCTCTCCTAGGGTGTAGCCAAAAGGGTCCACCACTTCACTTTACTTGACGGAGAGATGGTAATTGATACTTTGCCTGGCACACAGAAGCAAGAAAGGAGATACCTAATTTATGATATGATGGCCCTCAACGGTGTGTCTATCGTAGAGGTTGGATTCTTCTCAGGAAACCACTTTCCTTTTCTTCTTGAAAAATTAATGTTGGCTTTGCCTACAGGGGCTTTTGGTTCTCTGTATCACCGGGAATTATACCAGTATTGGCTTTACCACTTTCCTTTTCTTCTTGACAAAATGGGCTATTTCCTTTTTAGTCCGTTCCAAAAACATTTTCTCTCTCCCTAAATGTTGTTTCGTGGTAGAAGTGTAAGACTTTCTTTTATGTTACTTGAGGTCGTGTTAGTATTTATTTTGATAATTGAGAAATCCCAATGGCCAGTGGCTTACGGTTCGGAACTTGTTAGTTAATGCGCCTGCACCTCTAGCCATCTCCACTTAAATATTACGCTTTTGATTGGCGGGGTTCAAACCAGTGGCGTGCGCCTAACCCACAAATTACACGCTGCGCAAGTCTTGGGGGCATGTTGAAAGTCATTTATGCTTTGTGAATTTTAGAAGATTAGGATATTTTGACTTTTTTGTCCCAGAGGTATTGTACCTCTTGATTTCTTGAAAGTTGCGTGTTATCTCTACTAATTGGTGTTTAGTTCTTTTATGGGATAATAGTAGTGGTGATTTGTTTAAACTATTGTTAATGAGAAATCTGTTGTTTTCAGCATCGAAACTCAAATGGATAATGGACTGCCCTCTGTAGAAAATGGAGCTTCAGGGACATATAGCTTCATTAGAATTTTTAAAGTGGATGAATGCTAATATGCTTTTGGTTTGGGAATGGCTTAAAACTTGTTTACATGGTTTTCATCATGCGGGAGAGCTCCAGCTGGCTATGATGTCACCACTAATACGAGGCATTTACTGCCTTGATTAGTTAGTGAATTTTTGTTTCTTTATGGTATTTGAGGTGCATCTCAACCATGTGGTTACCTAAGCCGGTGATCAATCAATCAGTCCCAAACTAGTCGGGTCCTTCGTCATACGGCAATTTCTCCTTTTGCTAAATTTAAAAAGTTATTGTGTTTACTGCAACTAGAGCTCCAACACCCTGATAGGAGCGAGTGAAAGCAAGATATGCATCAGTCCAATGCTTATCAGTAAAACTATATGTACACGTAGTACTCATATTTGTACTGTCTATACTGGCACTATTTACTTCATGGAGCAAACAAAGCACGAGCATGTTTCGTGTACTTTCGATCATCTTGTTCTCTTAATCAGCTGTGTGCTGTGGGGTGATTATATTTTTGTATACTAAATGAAATAAATGTTGGAGATCAAGAAACTTATGTATCTAAAATGCCTTTTCAATTATCTTTCTCACTCTGGTTAAGCTTTACCCACTTCACCTCATTCTGTTTGGCTTGATTGCCTGCTTTTTTCTGCAAACATCATCTTTCCATTGATGTTGCTCATTCTCTGTTTTGGTATTTCTTACAGCAACCCTTTTGTGAACGCTGGAGAATGATTGACAAAGAAGTGATCGGGCCAAGGAATCATGAACGCCAACATATATGCCAGAGTGGAAACCCTTACTATAGATATGAGTGTGAGCCTTTCAGGGTATGTTTTGTCGACTTTGGAGTATAGTACATAAAAGTCACTTTTTCTACTATCATATTATTTCGAGCTAATGTGGTTGCTGAAATCTCAACGTCTGCCAGATGAGGAGGAAGAATTTTTGGCTGCTCTCTACTGTCAGAAAAGTTCTCAAAGAACTTATTCCAGAGCTTTCACATGAAGCAGATGGTCTTATTTTTCAGGTGTTTAAGAGCGACAAATCTTTAGTCATTGCACTGAATATCTTCTTGTTACATTGTTGTATTGGACTTCCCCGCAGGAGTTAAGTTTTTACATCCCTTCAGATATCTGATGTCTCCAAGTTGTATGGCATGTATGTCTTGATTGCTTTGTTGGGGACCTCTGTTTGGAAGATGTTTTCAACGTTTATTCTGCATTTATGTTGTGATGCAGAGAAGTATTAGAGATGCTAGCACATCCTCATTCATTTAATTGACATATGACATATTTATGGCTTACAGTAACAGAAACAGAGACATAAATCGTACAAATCTAATCATTTTAGGTTCTTGACACTCAGCTACTGTTTTCTTTCCTTTTTAGGGTTGGCTAGATCCTTATGTTCCTCTCACGCATCATGGTCTGTTGAAGTGGAAATACCCCGAGATGAACTCGGTTGACTTCCTGTTTGAGGTAGTGTTCTCTGCTCTCTTAGTGACTAGAGCTGTTTCCATTTCCTCTTTGCCGTTTTGGTTCTTATTTTTGTTTTTTCCTTACCCCTTGACCTGTCAAATGTCATTTGTCTTCCACTCTTTATGTGGAATGGCTGCTGTTAAACGAATCATGCTTTATTCTCTCATATTAGTGTGATAAAACAGGTGGTTGACGGTCGTGAATTGCTTTATCTACATGAACGAGGGAAGAAGAAACTGATGGAAGGGAATAGAGTCGTTTTCCCAGGTTAGAAATCCATGTTGTATTAGTTAATCTCCTGTGGTATCATGCAGGAAGGTTTCCCTCAATCTGGGGTTTGTGGGAATATAGGAGGCGGATATCATCTGCATCCCATGCTCGTTTAGTTTTTATTGACTTAACCAAAAAAAAAAAAAAGGAAAAAATCGTTTAGTCTTTTTTTTCCTGTCTTGTTTATTTTACCTGACCTGGATGGATGTGATTGCTTAGTAAAACTTCTAGGTGGATGATGTTTTGTGGGGAATCGGATGCGGTTCGCGTATTTGAGTGAGTAACCTGCATTCAATGTGTGATCTAGTGGAGGCTATTTCACGACTTGCTCTGTTTCGATTGCCAAGATTCCTTTTTTGATACTTGTGAGTTGCTAAATAGTAATAAGATTGTGGATAAAAATTTCTGTTGGTACTTGCTGCTGTGGCTAAACTAAGGCAGCATTGCTGTTTGACAACTGATCCTCTTCTAATCCAACTTTCCACTAAGTTCAAGACGCGTAATCTTGTTCTTTTAAACTTTTTTGTTCTTTTATAGTTGATTCTTAGTAATGAGAACGTGGATCATCCACAACTTGAAATTGAATCAGTTGCTAAAGTTGAAAAAGGTCGGATATGTTAGTGGGATTATTTGGAATTTACGGTAAGGTTCTCAATGGATCAAGTGCCAGTAGAAGATTGTTTACATTTTCAGGAAAAGTACATGGAAGCACAGATATGGGAATTCCTTGTTGCACGTGACCGTGAACCAGATAATCCACATTTAGGGTGTCACATTAGTCTTTATGTGAATTTTTGATTAACAAGATCATGCTTGTCAGAATAGGATGTGCACCTCTCAGGCTTTTGACAGGAGTTCAACAGCTTTGTTTCTTCTCTTGCTCTTTAAAATGGTCTTTCCAATAGTTGGTTCTTGTTGCTTGGAGTTACTGATACTAGCAGTGATGATATAAACATCCAGCGAAATGTCTATTCTGCTGTCCTTGTAGACGCATATCTGAGCAGTTCTCCTGCACTTTATTTTGTATCCCGTGAACTCGGGTTTCCTGCTTGGCTGGCGTTTATACGCTGGTGCATGTTCTGAAATTGGTTTCTTTCATGGTTACAGATAGTTCTGACCCGTCAGATTACTTGGGTAAAATAATAGAGTGTTCTTGGGATTCCAATAACCAAGAATGGGTGTGGATGAGGACCAGAATTGATAAAGGAACTCCAAATGATTACAACACGTACAGGAAGGTACTTGCTTTATTGGCAAATACTAAGTTCACGGGTTGATTTTTTGATACGTAGACTTGTGCTTTAATATAACCTTTTCCATATTTTGTCATATATTAGATAGTTAGCAACCTAGTAGACTAATTTTGGTTCCTGTACGGCAAAATTTAGGTTTTGAGAAGTATTACTGACAACATCACTGAAGAAGTGTTGTTGAATGAGATCTCTGAGATCATTCTACTGCCAATTTATGTGGAAGGGATACAGAATGATAGCAAAGCTCACCATCACTCTGGCTTAGTACGACGCAGATGAATGAATTTGATTAAGTAGATGGCATTATTATTGGAGGAAGCTAGTGATCGGATTAACTATTCATTGAAATCGCCACTTGCCTTCTGAACTTTGCCGTGTTCATGTTTCTCAACAAAAGGGTCTTTATGAAGCATCCTTAGTCCGTAGGCGTGTACTGTGTACTAACTGGTTATATTATATGATCCAGTTGGGACACTGTAACTTAGCTAGTTGACTCGGGTCTCTGAGTCTTTAGTTCTTCCTCATTATGGTTTGACATATCGAGGGAATTAGCAATATGTATATTAGTTGTTTAAGTTATTCTCCATTTTTTTTCTTTCTGGTCACTGTTTAGTTGTCTAAGGTAGGCTCTCTCTAGTATTAGCGAAACTTCAAGCTTTATGCTATCTATTCCCTTGTGAATATGAGTCTGTTGTACAAGTAATTTTTAATTATCATTTGTTCCCTGCGCATAGCGGGAGCTTAGTGCGCCGGGTTGCCCTTCTTTTCTTTTTTTCCTCATGTTCATCATTTTTCAGATTGGCTACCGAGTATACTCTGCATGAGATGCACCTAGTTAGCACTGCTAGCACAAGAAAGATCCTGTGCATCAGCAATGTGGGAATCATTGAAAAGTATTTTTCTAACTTTATTGACCATGAAAATATTGAAAGTACAATTTGGCTTTTGACATCACTGCCGGAACATCCTTGGGTGATAACGTATTGTGTTAAATCCAAAGCAATGACATATTAAAGAAAATCGTCAATAAAATAACTTGGCATGTAACATATTTGGAAATCAAAACAAGTGAATGCTAGAAAGCTTTTCTATTTAGACTTGGAGCAAAGATGCTAATTGTGGATGTAATAAGGGTGGACTTGGAAGTTTAAGTTAAATTATGATTTCCAAATATGTTACATGCCAAGTTATTTTATTGACGATTTTCTTTAATATGTCATTGCTTTGGATGTAATATCTTCTCATTGAGGGTGGACTTGGAAGTTTAAGTTAAATTATGTTCAAATTTAAAAAGGGATAATTCTATTTAGAACGAATTAAAAAGAAAATATGTTAACATAAATTGGAACGAAGAGAATAATATTTTTGTAGCCTTTTCCCATGCACCATGTTATTTTGAGTGAAATAGGTTGTATTGAGCTTGACTTGTCCATCAGGTGGTTTGAACCATTTCATTAGAATACTTACCTGAGTGAGCAGAGAATGTAGTGGCCCTGGTTTGTTTAAAATCTTGCATGGCAGACCTGCATGTAAATAAACCAGATGTTGTATTAGGAAGATTTTTGTTCTCTAAGATGTGAAATAGAATTGAGCAGGTTCAAAGGGATAACTTGTTCAAGATTATCAATGTTCCATTGACCATCCACAATATAATCAAAAACACTTTCTTCTTTTTGGATTCTGATTAGACACTAAACTGCCAAGTGGATCACACCACAATTCTATTTTTTCTTCTTCTAGGTTCCACTTAGATAGTAGTTCAGAAGTTAGACAAATTTTGATGAAGAAGATAGTATCTTGGATCTCTTCTTCTGTAGGTGTTCTATAATTAAGGCCAATATTTTTGCTAATAGAGCCCATCTCACATAAGCATAAGCATCTTTGCAAAGTGTAGACTTTGTTGGCAATATTCTTTGGGACCCAAAAATATTGCATTGTGTGGTGGACATCATTTGCACAAGTTGTATCTCTTCTTTTACACATAAGAGGCCAAGACTTTTTTGCCTATAAAAGGGAAGGTCATTAGTTCATTTTAGACACACCAACAAGACTTGAGCCTTCATTTGTTGTTTCTTCCTTTTCTCCTTTATTAAGAGTGTTTTGTATGAGAGTTAGTGTTGGGAAGCACTTGTACGAATCCTTTCTTTGGAGTGATCTTGTGAGCTTATTCTCTTATGGGTATTTGAGATTAATTAGAGTGTTTATTCTAATTTTGTACTCTCTTTTGTACTCTTATTGTTATAGTAAAATTGTTTCTCTCCGCTTGTGGACGTAGGTCACACTGACCGAACCACGTTAAATTGGTGTCTTCTTTATCTTCTTTAATTGTCGTTATCAACTTCCATTGTCTTTGTTATTGTCATTACACCGTTGTTTAGCTAAATTTCACCACTACCTGAGTTCCCGATCCTAACATGTTCTAGTTAGATTATCAGTGTCATCTTCAGAAATAATTTTAGTGATGCAGTTAAGCAGCGGTGAAGCCAGGAATTTCCCCAATAGTGTTTAAACTTGAAATAAGTAAAAAACAAATCCCGACAAAAAATGTTCAATATGTTACATACCTCTAAAATCTACTCGTAATATTTTTCATATATATAAGGTGTAATTTTTCGATGTTGAGACTTTGCGGTTTCGCCCCTGCAGTCAAGCTTCCTCTGAGATTTTGTCGTCATCTTTTACCCACTGATCATTATCTGTCTTGATTCTATGTATAGCCAATTTCCTCTTTCTTATTCTAATGTATAGCTTTCTCTCTCCAGTAGGCCCCTTTAACTTCAGCATCCTAGTAAGTTTTGCCTTCTTCTCATGTAGGTCCACTCTCAGTTTTACTAATTGTTCTTCCAATTGCTCTACTTCTTTTTCCATGTTCTGACGATCAATTTAGACCTTACTTTTACTAATTAATCTTTTTCTATGCTTTCTAGTCAGTGATAATTTACCAAAATATGTTTAATTTATTTTTAAATAATTATCCAAAATATTTGGTGCATTTAATTGATTTTAGTTTTTTTATTTTTATTTTTTTTTAATTTCCTCCTCTAATATGGACAATGATTTTAGTATATTAGTATTATTATAATCACATGATTTCTACTAAAGTGGGTTTGAAGATCTTGTCCTGTTATATGATCATGTGTAATAGCAATATATCTTGGATGTTCATCTTGCTACTAGAAAACTTGTTTATAGGACTTTATCTGTCTATTTGCATCTTTATTGTCCTAGTTGATCTCTTTGCACCTGACTTACGTCCAATAGAAGCCAGGCATATAGAATTGGTTTATTGCATTCATCCTGCAGTTGAAAATCTATCTATAAGGACTTCCTGCACTTCAAATGACCATGTTCATCATTATAGAATCATGTCCCCTTCCTCTTAAACTTGGGATCTGCGAGAAACTTACTCATAGATTCATTTTATAATAAGAGTCAACATTCATTTTATAATAAGAGTCTAGATTCATTCTATAACACTCCCCCTCAAGCTGGAGCGTATATGCTGATCATTGTCAACTTGTTACAAAAGTAATCAACTCGAGTGCCTTTCAATGCTTTAGTGGATAAATCAGCTGCTTGCTCTCCGGTCTTCACGTAGCCAATAGAAATCAAGTTTTCCTAAATCTTCTCACGAATAAAATGACAGTCAACTTCAATATGCTTGGTTCTTTCATGATACACTGGATTTGAGGCAATATGGAGCGCAACTTGATTGTCACACCAGAGCTTTGATGGAGTAGGATGCTTCAACCCTATTTCAGTTAAAAGATGGTATATCCACATTATCTCACATGTTGATTGTGCCATAGCTCTATACTCGGATTCTGCACTGGACCGAGATACAACATTATGCTTCTTACTTCTCTATGATATCAAGCTTCCACCGACAAATACACAGTAACTAGTAGTAGATCTTCTATCAATCTTGGATCCAGCCCGATCCGTATCTACAAAACAATCAATGCTAAAATGCCTGTGATTGTTATATAACATGCTAAGTCTAGGTGCTCTTTTCAATTAACATAGGATCTGCTCCAAAGCCTCCTAATGTTTAATTGTGGGTGCGGACATGAACTGGCTAACCATACTTAATGCAAAAGCAATATCTTGACGAGTAACAGTGAGATAGGTCTAATCTCCCTACTAACCTCATGTATCTATCTGGATCATTAAATGGATTGCCATCATCTTTCATAAAATGCAAATTAGGAACCATTGGAGTATTGCAAGGCTTGGCAGCTACCTTACCAGTTTCTGTCAATAAGTCAAGAATATACTTTCTCTGAGATAGAAAAATCTCATTCTTGCTTCTAGTTACTTCTACTCCCAAGAAATATTTTAGTTGTCCCGTGTCTTTCGTATGAAACTTAGTATGCAAGAAAGACTTGAGAGAAGATATTCATGCATTATCACTTCATGTAATAATAATGTCATCAACATATACAACAAGGAGAATAGATCTAGTTGTTAATTGCCTGTAGAAGACTAAATGATCACATTTGCTCTTTTTCAGCCAAATTCTTAAACTACCTCACTAAATTTACCACACCAAGCTCGGGAACTCTGCTTCAAGCTATATAAGGACTTATTCAAGTGGCAGACCACATTTGCTCTTTTTTAGCCCAAATTCTTAAACTACCTCACTAAATTTACCACACCAAACCCGGGAACTCTGCTTCAAGCTATATAAGGACTTATTCAAGTGGCAGACCTTCCTATACTCCCCCCGAGCAACAAAACTAGGTGGTTGCTCCATATACACCTCTTCATGCAAATCACCGTGAAGAAATGCATACTTAATATCCAATTGATGCAATGGTCAATTCTAAGAAGCTTCAAGAGAAATGAACAAGCAGACAGAAGTAAGTTTGGCAACCTGAGAGAAGGTGTCTGAATAATCCACTCCATAAGTCAGAGCATACATGTTACGACCTCAACTTCTCTCTATAGGATGTCGTGATGGCACCTAGTCTCTGAGACTAGGTAAGCCTAACACATGCTGATTTAATAAAGGAATTAAACTATTTAATCATTAATCATAAACTATTAAATGACATACATATCCGCAAGCGGTTAATAGTTATATATTTCCCAAAACTGGTAGTACGTAGTCATAAGCACTACTGAAAGCACACTAGAATTTCTAAACATAATAATGTTTTGAATTACAATTTAACAGTAGCATAATGAAGTAAGATGGTGACTCCGAGGCCTGTGAACGTCAAGCAGGTATACCTTGAAGTCCCCCGCCGCGCAGACGTAACTCTCAACAACACGATCATAATACTTGGATCTGCACAAAAATGTGTAGAAGCGTAGCATGAGTACACTACAACGGTACCTAGTAAGTATCAAGCCTAACCTCGGTAAAGTAGTGACGGGCCAGGTCAAGACACCTACTAGACATAGAAACATGTTCAAGATATAAATAAGCTAAGAATGGGAAGAACATCAATGTAAGACCAACAATAGAAAGATTATTGATTTACAACCAACAATAAACCACAAGTCATGAACCACAATTTTTAAATCTTACACATATGACACATCGTGCCCACAATAACAATCACCTTCGCACGGCAAACACCATGTACTACCATGTACTTTGAAATCGTGACAAATATCAATTTAGATGAACGAGAGATACATTTAAACACCATAAACCATAATAACAATCTTAAATAAAGTAAGGTGTCAAATGAAATAATAAGTTTATTTTAGAAATCAAGCAAAGTAAAATAATATACCATTTATACGAAATAG